AGAGGCCCTCCAGAACATGTCCAAGTGCTGACCCCGACATCTGCGGTTGTGACCCTAACTGTCCTCATGAAGGTTTTGTGCCCCTTGCTCCAGCTCTTCTTCTTCTAGTGAGAACATTCGTTTGCTTGATGTTGTTCAAGAGACCCCTTAACCTAACCTCATTTTTGAAAAACACCTGGGTGTTTTCCATTCCCGTCTTCCATGTCACGGTGTTCTTCTGCAACCATGCCCCTGGTGTGGAGTCCCTCCGTTCCTGTACTCTTCAGCTCTGACTGGTTCTTTTTTATATTTTTTGCCTCTGCTGAAGGTCTCACCGAGTTCATCCACCCTTCTCTCCAGCTGAGTGAGCACATTTACGGCTGTTACTTTCAACTCTTCATCAGACACACTGCTTACCACTGTTTCATTTAGTCCTTTCACCAAGGTTTTGTCTTGTTCCTTCTTTTGGAACATATTCCTCACTCTCCCCCTTTTGCTTGACTTTGTGTTTTCCTGAATTAGGCTCATTGTCCTAAACTTGAGGGAAAGGTTCTGCGTATGATCATCCCCTGGGTAGACTATGTGTCTGGTGATGCTGGCTGACTGGACGGAGCTGTGGCCGGTGTGAGCTAGGGTCACGGGGCCCTCTAAGCAGGGGCTCCCTGGCAGGATGGCCAGAAATGGCAGTGGGCTGTGACAGCCCTGAGGCTCCCCGTGCAGCACGGACTCTGGCAGGATGGCTGAAGTGGGTGTCAACCAGGGTGCCCCAGGCTGTGTACAGCCGGCAGGGTACCCTGGCAGAGTGGCCAGGGTCGGGGGAGTGCAGATGGAGGGCCCTGGGGACTGCAAGAGCAGGAGTGGGCACTGGCTGGGGTGGTCCCTGGGCTCTCCACACAGAGGGCATCGTGACAAGACAGCTGAAGGTGCTGTGGGTGCAGGCTGGTGCTTGGTGCAGGGGGTGCCCCAGTAGGGGGTCTGGAGCCAAAGCGAGCATCAGCTGGGGGGCCCTGGAGCAGCCCAGCCAGCATCAGAAGCCAAACTGATGCGGGTCTGGAGCCTCCTGGGGCACACTGTGCAGGAGGAGGGCTGCTGGTGTGGGCTAGTGGCCAGTGAGGACTTCTGGACCCAACCCCCACCCACACTCTCCAGGTCGGGGGAACATAAACCATAGGACTCACAGTTCCTCAGACCCAGAGAGTTCCAGCAGCTCGCCACTGTTGGGTAAAATTTGAAGGATGGCTCTTTTATAAACTAGCTCATCTTTTAAACTGCACCTTTTTTCTGAGCTCAAAACAGACAAATGTGCTACAGGTCCCTCAGCACTGTCCCTGCCCACCGCGGCCCACAGCCTGGGGGTGGGGTCCCTTCCCTGTACAGTCTCTATCTTCCGTGGTGCAGAAGTTGTTCAGTCAGCCCTCAGCTCTTCCTCAGCAGGAATTGCTGGGTTAATAGTGGTGGGTTTGGGGTGTCCTGGAGGAGGTGAAGTCAGGGTCTCCCTATGTCGCCACCGTGGCCCAGGACCAATCCCAATCACAACCTAATTTGGAAAAAG